CTCGTGGATCACAACAAGCTGTGCAAAATCGCCGACTTCGGCATGTCGAGGTTCGCCAACGAGGATGGCGAGGTGATCGAGACTAGACACGGCAGAAATGCCTTACCCATCCGATGGATGGCCCCCGAATCTTTGATCTACTCCCTATTCACGACGAAGACCGACGTCTGGAGCTTCGGGATTCTGATGTGGGAGATCGTTACTTTAGGTAAGTGCCTTCATCGCCTGTCATTCGAGAATGACTAAGTGACTTGCTTGATTTCGGTAGCTTGTTATTGGAATAAATATTATTTTTTTTACTCAAAGCCTCTTAAAGTAAAAATATAAAAGGTTGAGAATCCTTTTGTTGCGTTGTTATTATTTGATATGAAAATAAAGGTATGCTTGTGCAGACACGCTAATAGTTTGGAAGTAAACTTATATATTAAATGTAAACTTGTGTTATTAATTTTATTTAATTAACAAAATTACAAAGAAAAAGAAATTAATCTGCAAAATATGTCATTAAATATATCATCAAAATTTTATAGCGATTTCCTGAATCTTCCATTTTTTGTCGTCCTTATGTCAGTTAAAAGAATGGCTACACACATACGATCATCTTGAATATCCACTAGGGAAAAAGAGAAAATATCCAATTTATACCTTGTTAAAGCATGTACTTTAATCAATGGATGGTAGCTTCTTCCTACCGCGACATCCCGTCGTAATAATCGCACCACTTTGTGCTCTCTGTTCAGGTTCAACACCGTACCCGGATATGACGGCGCGGGAAGTCATGCGGAACGTGCACAACGGTTATCGGCTGGAGAGGCCTTCGCACTGTCGAACCGAGCTCTTCAGGGTGATATCCCGATGCTGGCACGCCGATCCCGACCGCAGGCCGGAGTTTCAGATCCTACGTAGGGATCTCGCTCAGCTGCTGGAGGACAACATGAACGGGCACTACGTGGACCTCGAGAGCTTTGCCTCCGAGTGCACCGATTGAGAGAGGTCGACGGAGGAAACCTCAGGCTCATCCTTGATCGCACCGGGAAATTGATCCCGTGGAAAAATTCGCGCTCAGCACACGCGTTGGTGCTACGTGAGCAGGGAGATTTTTTGACATACCATTGATCTTCGAAGCGACTTTCCTTCGCGAGTACAGAACGTAATTGAGATTATCCCAAAAGATCGAATTCTGCGAGGTCTGGAACGTCTTACGTTCTTACTGTTTTTGACCTCCAAAATTCGTAGGAATTTTGTACGAAGTGTATTCTATATTTTGTAAAATACGCTTGAAAATAGAGTCGATAACTGGGGGCTACTTGAGATAATGGAGAAATATCAAAAAATGTTTCGTTGTAGGAAATTCGTCGATCCCGCACGTAAAAATCGCAATCCGTCCACATTTGCATGGGTTTTATTATCGCTGTGCAATAGCAGAATGTAATGACAAGATACGATGTTAATTTATTATTACGTGAATACGAAATATACTCGGCAACAACATCGCATACATTCGTAATAATTACGAATGGATTTTTATCATTGGATGCTTCTACGATTCGTTGAAGTACATGTATAATTAATTATGCAATTTCCATCTTGTTGAAGAACGCAGAACGTAGAACAGAGGAACGCTGTAACGCACGATGCTGTGATAAATGACGAAAAATAAAAAAAATTACATAAGCGCGATATTGAAGCGCAATGAGAGAGTTTATAAAGTCCGCAAAATATAAGTATTCCATCTAGAATAGAGTATTATTGGGTAAGTAGAATTTTTACAATAAATTATACACGACATTGGTTAATCCTTCAACATTTCGTCTTAATAATTTTATTTATAAACGAGAATGTATACATTGGGCAATGATTGTGCACAATTGATAATTTACGCATTTTAAAGACTTGCTTGTTGCATGTAATGTATTTTACATAAATCATTTTTTTTATATTAGAAAGGCATTTAGATATCAATTTATCGAAACAATAGCGGACATTATTTTTAAAGAATTCTGCTTTAAGTTTTTGATATTCATTTATTACTTCGAGGGAAAGAGAAGGCAATTTACAGAAAGACTTAGTTCTCCACGTTAAACTTGGAAAACACAACGAGACTCAGCTCTGCGTCGCGACATTTGTACATATTATGTCTCTTACGTAATATATATACATATATATATACATATATAGATATAACAATGAATATTATATTTGCCAGAAATCAAAAAGAGACGCCCCACTCTTCGAACCGCATTACTCGTAATACTGTAACAATAATTCTCGTTATTAATTGTCGTTAGGTATGTGCATCCCGTGTTTTTAATCGCGCCCGACGCGTTTATTCTTAATCATTCTAGTCTTTTGCGACGCGTTTTGGGGCGACGATCGGTATCGATTATATCGCACGCTATTTTTCTTTTCATTCTCCGCTTTCATAAGCGTTACGAATTCGCCCGAAATTGCGATATCAGCGACATAATATAATATATCGCGGTCGTTTTAAAGAACATATATTAATTGAAGCTCCGCTGTCAGTTGATTATAGCATTTTTTTATCTTGCTATCTTTTCCTGCGACATTGTTTCCGCTCTTTAATACGGCTCGTCTCCGTTTGTCATTATTATTCGAGACATCGTTCTCGGATATATCGCATTTTGCGCGTTACTATTGCGAAAAAAATAGTTGCGACCAATACTGTATGTAGGCTCGATTGTATTAAGAACTTTTGTCAGTAAACGTTGTGAGAAAATTTAATTGTTTGCGCATTTTATCGATTAAATTGAATTCCCATAGGAATTGAGCGTATAACGACGCTCATCTTTCCAGATTTGACAAAGGCCCGATGTAAATCGTCGTGTACGCATGCGACAGTATCTTCCGACTGCCACTTCCTTCGTAAAATGTTTAAAATAAATAGCCTCGGAAGTGTGAAAAATGACAACGCGAATTATAGCGAAATCGCTATCGCGCTGCGCGCACGCACATTAATTATCTCGACGCGAAAGATCCGCGATCGTTCTGCGGTATGTAGTAAAACGTAATCTTCTTCGTTAACCCTTTATCCTTATCCCGGTGTAAAATTACCGAAGTCATTCATATTTGTTTTTACAGAAAACGTGAATAATCTTTTCAAACGTCAAAAACGAGCTGGTTCTTTGCAAGGAGTAGATAAAACAAGTATTTGTGCATAGACCATCTTGCTTGGAATAATTTTATTTGAAGAAAAAATATCTTGAGATACTTACTTTGCAATAAAATATCTTATTGCAAATTGTTTCTGTCGGACTACACAATTTTCATTTCTGCTAACACATCAAATAAAGCGCATTGCAGCAATGTGTCTGCCTCGTGCAAAGTTATTTCGAAATAAAAGTACAAATACGGTTTTTATCCACTGTTGCATATATATGTTCAAATAAAATTTTTCCTATTAAAAAACTATAAAAATAGTTTTGAATGTAATAAAATTACAATGTAATATAAGTGTTTAACATAAGTATTTGATATTTTAGCAATAATTTATACGATATTTATTGCTTCTTCTCCGTTAAATTTGAAGAGAAGATTTTTCAGTTCTGGAAATAAGTAAATTTTGTGATACAATAATGCAAGAGCTCAAAAAGACGTTACGATAGTGCGTAGTTTTAAATCGTGCATATTGAATTGTCGAAAGTGTTGAAACGTTGAAAAGAAATTACAGACCGAGATTTTCTTTCGGAGTTATCCTGGACCGCGTCGGCCGAAGACGCTTTCTTCTCTTTCAATTAGAAGGAGGGTTTTGCCTTCGGCCCTCGTGATTTATGAAATCGCGTCCGCGACGGACGCTGCAGATTTACTGCAACGGGAATATGGATTTATGCGCGCGAACGCGCGCCGGACGAGATAAAGGCGCGGTATGCAAATACGTCCGGCGCGTTTTGTCAAAGTCCGCGGGCTAAAAGGAGGTGGGCAGTGGAGACAGGTGCCATCGAGCTATACTCGGGAGGAGGAGGAGGAGGCAAGGCCGAAGGAATCAAATTCCCGACCGGGATATCGATCTGGCGATCGCCGTTTCCAGACACGAAGGCGCGAAGAAGATGGCTTAATGAAATTAATTAAGACCTCCCCATCGCCGTGGCGATTTCGTGATCACGCGAACGAAACGCTCTTGTGCCGGTCTTAACTTATCGTTTTTGCAGCGTATGAGTAATAACGATATTTTTAAGAGAAACAGACTTTTTTGAAACATTATATTTCCGCATTAAAAAAAATCTCAAAAAGATTGCTTTTTAAGAACGCAATTGAAACGTAGGAAATATAATAAATTAGATCGTAAAATTAATATATTTTATATTTTAGGGACTGAAGAAATTACTACAATAATTAAGATTGATATTTTTAATGTATGTGTTTTATCATTGCGTAAAACGTATTCTTAAACTTATATCAAAAGTTGGAGCATTTTTTACTTTTCACGCGAGTAATCACGCAATTAATTTTTATATTTAATTTCTACTATACAAGCCACACCATAATCAGGTTTTTATGTAATAGCGACCTTGGTTGTTGGATTCGTGTCTCGAAGTCGTAAGTATCGACTTACTCGCATCAGTATCCATGATAGGGTATCCACAGAGTCGGTCGAGTGATCTTATCCGCCCCATGCAGTTGCCTTCGCTCTTCAAAGCTTGGGACAAGTACGACGTGTGTCCGACGCTGTGGATCGTTATCGTAAATTGGATCGCATTCTTGAAATCTCGAGAAATAACCATAAAATGTCTCGGACTCGTTTAAGGCAACGGATTCCCCTGCGCTCGATGACGAAGCGATGAATTCGATTACTTCGCGATCAAATCGACGTTTTCCCAAACATAAATAAATAGAAATAAAAATTGAAAATTATGATAGAAGAGGATTGTCACTTTATTAACGAAAAGCTTATTTGTAATGTTTTAAAGGCTCAATATTTCAAAGCAGAAAAATTGGACCAATCTAAAAGCATAACTTGCATATATTTCTAATTTTTCAAAAGCAAAAGAAGCGAGAATTATAATAATTGTGGTAAGACTAAAGTGGAAAAGAGAGTCTATGATTTTAGTTACACGTTCGTGATATTGCACTTTTCTGCGTATCAAGGAAATTGAGAGCTTCATTGATCTTTTCACGATGAACGTCATATATTTCTATGATTAGTACATTGACTGATGATGTCTTTTAGATGGAGAAATTAATCATACTTTTAACGTATACTTTCGAAAGTTCAATTAGAAGATACTTATATCCACATCGATCGACGTACGTGCCAAGCGATCGATCTTCTAGAAACATAGTGATAGCCATAAATTGCAATTATATGGAACTATTACATGGAACTCTCTTCTTGTATTTTAGATAGTTTAATGATGTGTTTGACCTTATGACAAGAGTCGAGAGAATTTCTACATTAATTTTCCAGTATAACGGAAGTTTATTAAAAGTAAACACACGCGAGATATTCTTATTTAAATTAAATGATTATAGTATTTTGAAATATTTTATTTCTTACCATTTTTGCATACTTTTTTATTTTATTTTATTTCTTTTTCTTGTAAATAATTATATATTATTGTTTGACTTTTCTTCTACTCTTTATGCTGTAATATTTTTATCTATGACTAGTTTATGCTAACTTTCTCTGTTTTCCAGTCGATCCCTGATCTCTCTCTAGAGTCTAGGTCTCTTTCACGATTGTCTATAATTATGACAAACTATTTCACAGGGTCACGCTCAATTTCATCGAGGTTACGATGTACGCATACGACGGCGATAAAAATGTCAACGTCCGGCTATCTTTAACGAAAGACTTTCGCCGCAGAATCTTCCGAGAGTTCTCGCAGTCGTAACCCGCGTGCGCTCCTTTCTAATCCGTGGGAGTTAAGAATCGAAGCGCGATCAAGGGAAGACCCGCGAACGATCCGCGCGTTCCACTTTCATTCATAACGCCACCCAACTTACTTTTTTTTATTGCTATTTTTCTCAAAGGTGCCTATCATCGTAATCTTTTAGAAATCGAGCGTTAGGAAAGCCATATATAGCATCACCATGCTGATTCACAGCTTCCTTATTTTCCCACCATAGATCGTTAGAATATTTAGATATTCAGGGTACTGGAATACGAGATTAAACTATGAAGATGAGCTGTTCAATCGTCTCTGTTCCACTTTAGTACGTATAGACATAAATATATTTTTTGTTTCAAGTTCCGAAATTATATAAGTATTTTGAATGTGTGAACAGCTAATAGAACAAGCTTAGTAAAAAATATCTCAATACAGAAAATAGATAATTAAAACGTGTGATATTTGTATAACCATGAAATGTCTGGTTCTCTTTTATCACTAATGATTATGTAATATTTTACAGAACAATTACTCTCATAATATATTTTCGGAACGTAGAATCTATCGAGAACGTAGAATCTATCTCCGGTACGTTCTAATCGGCACAATTTTGCGAATGTATAGAGATTCGTGAGACGCGACCCACATTTTCTGTGGCTCTTCTGGTCGGCGCGTTTCACCTGTCCGCGATTCGGACGCGAATCCGGAAAGGGAAGAATGATACAATCAGCCTCGAAGAAATCTCAAAACAACGATTAAGAAATAAGAGTAAAACCTGTTTCCAGAATGGGACCGGCGCCACGCGAGAATTATTTGAGAGACTCATTTACCTACAAATTCAACAATGTTCCGTTTCGAGAAGGAAGAGAGAGACGTATTGCCTTTAAGATGTCTCACATGCAAATCTCTATGACACATCTTAAAGATAATTAATATATATAATTTTTTAAGATATATATAACATATTTTTCGAAGAAAGATAGGATTTCACAGAGAATTTCTGTGAACAGGTTTCCGTTTCTCTTTCCGATTGTTGATTCTTCCCACGCTCACCTTAGTATTCGAATTTACTCAGAGTTCTCACGATTTATAGCGTTTATTCTGCTCACTCCTAGATGGTAACATCGTCAGATCACGTAATGCTGATTTACGAATTGATATAAGACGCGGCGAACTCGTATATTTCGATCACCTGTCTGTCAATCACCTTATAAAGTGACAAGAGAAGCCGCCAAAGGTAAACAACGAAGTAAATTTATCAGAGAGAGTCATATGTAACTCTTTAAATAGCACTATAATGACGCGGAAATTTTTTATTTTGATATTTATGTTACAAATATACTCTCTAAATCTTAATCAGTGAATAGTTACTGATTCAGATTTAGAGAGTATAATATACATTTTGCAAATTTTAATGCCTTAGTCGCTCTTATCTTATTTCAACCATGTAACTATAGGTCGCTCCGTTTTTCAAGATCACGTTATTATATTTTTATCCAATTAATTTAATTCCCTCGTGAAAAAAATGCAGTAACAGTTTGATTAAAAAGCGTGGTAACGCATTGCTGGTGATAAAACACTTTTAAAGGCCCCATTTTCCAGAATGAATGTCCTTTTTTTTCCATAATACTCATCCTCTCACGAAAGTAGGCTGGTAATTCTTAATATCGGTAAATTAGCTGCACGTTTTATTCACGACTTCTCTGAAACAATTTAACCGCACACTAGATAAACGTCGGCATGCGTATCGCACGCCGCCGTGGTAACGTTAGCACGTCGCTAAGTGAAGACAGTATAAGTACTGTCTATCATACATTGAAATGCCATTTAAGCGTAGCGTAAAACCGCCGCTTTCACCCCTTCCGCCGCCATCAAGCAGCTGTTATTGGAAACGAAGTGCTGCGTTCGAGAGGAAACCGAGGGAATTTCGAACAGAATAAAGCTGCGGCGAATTTCGGACGCAGCGTTGTTTCCGCGAAGAAGAAAGTCATTTAAAATATTTTAAAGCGTACGTCAGTTTCCGTTATTTTACCGTAAATTGCTCTCACCACGAATAAAAACGGAAATGTCATGACTTCCAGAAATTCTGGTTTGGATACTGGGTATTGAACTTTTCTGCGGTTAATAACATCTATGTGTGATACATTTAATTTAGAAATTAAAAAACCATTTAGAAGGCTATACATACATAATAATTATTATATATTTGTGGCAAAAATTAAATTTATAAAGCAGAAAAAAGTCTTGATTAAACCCGACTCGTATAGAAGAAAGAGACAATAATTCTTAAACGACTTTGCATGTAACATATATTTAAATACTATTTTAACGAAATTTAGATTTCACGAAAACGAGAGGATCGAGAAACTCGTTAAAAAATGCACTAATGACAATCATAACAAATGCAAAATATATAATTAATGTGAGAAAGTGTTCTTGTACGATACGTGCTTATCTTAACGCGATCTTATCTTATTAAGCTTGTAATGTGTCTCGTGTCGAAATGGACGCAAATATTGCTATGTATGCTGTGTAAAATAACACTTTCGCCGTTTACCATTTCACGGGTATTACATAGATCACTTGATATTACAGTGTTTGGTGCGCTTTCCAAGCAATTTCATGTGACTCTAAAGTGAGAAAGTTTGCGATTGCATGGTATTTCCAGTAGTAAATGTGGTATTATACAATTTTTTTCTTAATTTAAATCTTAATAGCCGAACTATTTAATTCTGCAAATGAGACGATGTGTAGTTAACGCAAAACCAGTCTTGAATTAAATACTCGTCAATATAGTTTCTGAAATTATTTTTAAAAGTTGTCACGACGAGTACGTTAAGAGTAATGAACCACATGATCGATATCCCATCGTGTAGAAAAACGACATTGGATAACTTTCTCTAAACAATCGTATACTGTTAATCGCGCTGTAAAAAAAGAACGGTAAGAGAAAATAACTATATTCGTTAATTCATTACGGCGCTTATGCCGATTAATTTCTTTCGACGATATGCCATTTTCTAAACGAGATGAGTATCTAAGTAGCCAGCCAAGCGTGACATTTTATAATAATAAAAACACGTTTTCGCGAAAGCGCCATGTACCTTGAGTTGAATCATGCGTGACAATTCAAATAGCTTTCGAGTAACAAGTAAAAGTGCCTATATTTTTTGTTGTCTATCGCAATTTTAACATTTTTTTAAATAACTTTAAGTGATCTTTTATTTATCACGTACTTTACCAGAATACTACACAAGAGTCCAGGCTTAATTAATTAGAAAAGTATTTAAAAAAATATACTAATATTCTAATTTTAATTTAAAATGCGTACACATTAAGGAACGATTGTCCAAAATTAATGAGAAAAAACTCGGACTTTCTATCAGTATATAGGCTGCCAAAGACATTCTGTTTATAGATTTATAGAGTCACCTGCTTCACGCACGCGACAAAAAGATCGTTATGATCGATCGAGAAGAAAAACTTTCTCGACACAATAGAGTGTCACATCGAAAGTACGAGACTACGAGATCCGGAACAGCAATCACAGAAGGAACAGCGTGTTGATCATCTGTTAACCTAATGGGTAGGTATAGCGATAGTATACATGGTGTCCTATGTTCTTCTTATTTTCTTCAACTTAATTCTTTGACTAATTTAAAGTCGATTTTTTAGAGAAAATTGTTTTTTTTCAAAACTTCAAGTATCTTTATGTAACGAATGTTTAAGTAAAAAATTGATTACATTTTGTTGAGGAAGAAAGTTCGTTTTAAATTAAATAAAATTTAATTTATGAAATCTTCGAAAGTTTATTGCCACAAAAGTTATCGGGATCCCAACATCTTTTAGGGAAGATACTTAAATTGATGAGAAAATAACTAGATGGAAGAAAGTGCGATGAACCTTGAATACCGTGTATACCGTAATACAAGTGTGCGATGCTGTGTAATCTATTGACCGAGAGTAAAGCCCGCGCTCTCTCGCACGGACGGAGAGGAGGAGCTCGGCTGGCCGACTTCTTCCTTCTCTTCGCGGTACGACACGCTTATCCACCAACCCGACGGCGGTCCGGTTTTCTCGGTCACGGCTGCACGAGGGGGAGATCCCGTGTTCCTACATTATCCCCACGTGGACCATGCGGGGAGGCTCTTCATCTCCTACCACCTACGAGAGAGCTGATGTTTTGCGCCAGTTCAAAGAGCAGATCGGCAGCAGGTGGTTTTGGCGAACGGACCTCGGTACCGAGAAGAGTCTCTCTAGAACGGAGATCTTTCGTATTTCGTGGTTTGATCAGTCAATCGTCAAAGAGGTTCCGCGAGCGCAATCTGCGCGAATACAATTGAGTGTTTAATGATATTGCTCTATGATAGTGCTGAGAGATTGATAAATCATTGCAGTGGTAGAGTGACAGTGGAATCTGTGATAATTGTAAATCAGTTCACACTGAAACTGTTGATGAGTCTTAGTGGTTCGATAGGATGAGGATAGGACAGTCGTATTGGGTGTTGTTGGTAAGATTAATTATTGTTTCGGTAATATGTAGTTTTAATTTTTGCGGCTGGTTAAAAATAGTGAAATTTTTTGTCTCTATTCTGATCCTTTTATTGTTAACTGCTGCTAATTCTAATTTTTAGCTTTAAGATTTTTAATGCTTATCTAATCGCACTATAACTGTTCAAAACGAATGGACGAGGATCTTTATAATATTTTTATGTACACAAAATATCTAAATTTTTTCTTCTTTAGTATTTAAACTAATTATTAAAAAAATAATCGCGGTGCTATTATTATTTTTTTTTATCAATAACTGAATTAAAAAGTAATTAATTTTATCAGCTGTTAATTCTTGAATCGCGCTTTCAAAGAAAGTTTTATTTCCTGTTTTTGCCGAATGAATGAAGTTCCTCATTCCTTCAGTTTACTGACCGCGTGATGCTCTCTGCGTCAGTTTACCTGGTCCAAAGTGAAACAACGTTTGTCGCGACCTTGATCCAGCCGCTCGTTAAAGTGAGGAAAAGTAATAGATGCTTCGCACCTGCATTGGAATATCGAGTTTGCTCTCGCGCGAGAATTCTCGAAAGGTTCTTCATTAACGCGATAAATATGGAAATTGACTTGAAATAGCCGTCATGAAATGCTCAAACGCAGTCACGCGATTTTGTTTATTGTCGGAGAATCCATTGAATCCAATTGAATCAAGTGAAATCATCTGTTTGCCTCGACCATTATTGAGTCGTTACAGTATAAAATTACGGCATGATAGGTTTTTAATCTTAACAGGATTGTGTAAAAGAAGCATGTAAGAAGATATTATAATAAAAAAGAATCAACTAAATATAATTAAATATTATTGTCTTTATATATATATATTTTTATTTTTAGATCTAGATTCTTTATTCTAATAATGAGTGAGAGCAAGAACTAGCTCGATCCTTGATAAAAATGTATAAAGATTAATTCTCCCTTTCTCCGTTTCTCTGGTAATTTTCAACTTTTATAAATTTGCTTACAAATGAGCACTGTTCGACGTATCTTCACACACATTTCACCAAATTAAAAAGAAGAATACATTTTTAATGACTGGGTAACAATCGAGGCATTCATGTTCAAGCTGAGAAATGGATTGTTTTGGGGTTGCAGGCGCATATGCTGCATCGCGTGATGTATCATGGTTAATGGCAATTCTCATGCATCCTGCATTGTTGTTCCGAGCTCGATTGCATTTTAGCGAAACTAAGTTGTCTTTATTAGAGTATCGAGAAGAGATTTCGCATATATGAAGCGGTTCCATTAATTGTTAGAGCGCAATAAGAAATTAATAAGCGTTAAACATAAGAATAACGATCCAATCTATTAACATTGATGGAACTTGAGCACCAATAAATACTAGCCCCCATTTATTAATACGCCGGATATAAATCTACGTTCACGGCTAATGACTAGCTTTCGACATAATTATCTCTTATTTATGATAATTAACTCGTTTCGTTGAAAATAATGAAATTCGAGAATAAATTTATCAAGTTCAATTACAGGTTGCCAAGAGTCAGCGCTTAATTGAAACTTACGGTCATTTACTTTCACTAAATCCAACTCTTGGCAAAAATAATATACGTATAAATTACATATTCAAATTATCAGGTGAAGTCTCATATTTACCAAGTCATTGAACCTGCATAAGGGATATATACTTTCGCGACGGGATGTTTAAGAAGCTCCCTTTTCGACGATTGCGCAGAATCGCACTGCGATCTCTTGCATCCTGCGAAAGCTCATTGCAACCACTGCGCTTCCGGTGTAACGAACGTAAACGCGCAGCCGACGTTTCTTCGGACAGACTTCCTCTTCGTAAAAAAAAAAGAAGAAGAAGAGAGATCTCTTGCGCGATAATCGGTCCACGTTCTTGGCAAACAAGAGATACGTGTAACGTAATTTACGCTTCCTTGCAGTTCACTCGCGGCTATGTATAGCGGCTTTGCACGCTCGTTACGATTGTTCTTTCCGGAAGTTGCATTTTATTGTCTCCTCGCTGAACCACACGCGCGTCGTTTTCACTCGCGATTCAATTAAATCAGCGTCTCGCGCGCGACGCTCACTAATTAGCGTTATCAGGAGTTAATTAACATACTATTTAATTCGCTTATGAAAATTTATATTTTGATTCGCAACCACGATTTCCTAGCTAACGGTTAATTATAATTTACCGTATTAATAAGATTTAGATAACATCCATTTTAACACTTCTAACAATTAATTAGGCAGGTAACAACGTAACAATGCATAATGTAGTCCCAGATTTATTAATACGTTGCACATAATGCTTTACAAGATGTAATTACTAAATTATCTAATAATATTATCCACAGCAATTATAAAAATTGTATATTACAATATACGATAATATACGACGTGCAACTTTTTGTTTCATTTTCTAGACAGTCGTGCTACTGTCTCCAATCCATGCCGAGAAGAAGAACAATGTCAGCAATGTCGATGATGGCGAGAAAGTTCAGGAGAAGATATCGACGTCCCTCAAACTCAGTGACGAGGACGTCAAAAACAGAACGACTAAAGTACGAGAAGTAATGGCATCCGTGAGTGAGCACGTTTGCATAGAAAACTTTCGAATGACATTTATTTAATATCGCTTCTTTTATTTTTCATGAGATATAAATTGTGTAAAACATAAGATAGAAAATCTCTATAGAAATATGAAGAAAATTTGTGGCACGGGAAACCTGGCAGTTGCTGATTCAGAAATAAACCTTTATAGATATTATACTCGATTGAATAAACAGCATTATACATATTTTGGTATATTATAAATTATTTTATTTAAATCGCCGTAAAATTAATCGATAAAATAAGATATCATTCGCAGAATACGTGTCTTCTAAATAAAACTAATCTTCTTTTTGTCTTTTCTAGGCGATGCCGGAGAAGCGGGAACAAATCGGCGAGGTAATACCAAAAATACGTAGCACGTCGCTGCCGCAAAAGCTGGCTACGCTAATCTCCACGAAAATATCCAACAATGACACGACCTCACCGCCACTCGAGGAAGTCCAGTCTCTTGTCGGCGGCGGAAACAGAGAAAACGCGAGTAGGGAATTGATGCTACCGAGCAATATGGCCATAGCGAAGATCATATCCAACGATTCCGACTCCGAGGAGAGCGAGGAGGAGGAGGATAGTGACGAGATGCCCGAAGCATTACCCGAGGTGAGTTAAAACGCGTGCAGATAAAAAAAATAATATTATCTTTATGTGATGCGCGCGCACGCAATGATCTATCGCGTCGACTTTTTCCCACTATCTGAAAACGGTAGAAAGTCGAGTTTGACGTGTCCACTTGTCGTAAATTTCAACGAGATTTATCCCA